TAGGGGTCGATCGGAGTGGTCGGGTTCTTGACAAGGATGCCCTTTAACCGGGCCTCGCCAACGGTCGACCTCAGGTCTTTCGAGGTCGTTATGTCCAATGGCCGTTTAGAGGAGCTATTTGTAAGGGCAGGCTCCGATAGTTTCAACACTCCCGTGCGGCTGGCCACCAGCTGTTTCTGTGACGGCGAAGCTGGCTGTGCAGCAGGAGCTGCTGGACGAGCAGCATTGGCAGGAAGAGGAGAAGCAGGGGCACTATTTCCCGGCTTCGGCGGTCGAGCAGAAGAAGCATAGCGGCGAGTACCTGTGGAATAAATACATAAGTAAAGAGCATGAGACACACATCCAACACAAGGGGAAAATAACTAACCGTGAAAGCGCCGAATAATCTCGAGGGCATTATCATCGCCCTTGGGAGGGAGGCAAATCTGAAAGGCATTCATAATCCGTCAGTATAAGTGTTCCAATGCTTGTTGTCGCCAACCGCAAATAATGTTGGCGGCTCAACTTCCCAAGTATACCATTTACCCTTGGGACGGGCAAAGAAGTACTCCTTGAACCAAGGAGCATCTAACTTCGGCGCCCCGCTCACGAAGCCAATCCGCGTCTCTCGGCGGTAGCAAGGCCAGCAATTTTCGGAGCCCCTCATTTTATACAACTGACGGAACGCATCAAAGATGGCGTCTCGCCGATTTTCTCACAGGCGGCCTTGAAGGCGATGGTATGGAAAATAACACCGCGCGACAAGCGGCCCAAAGTGCAGTTCAGAAACAGAAGAGTTTGAGTCAAGATGGGGTTGAGAGGAAAAGTTAGCCCCATCTGGATGTGCTCCACGTGGATGGGAATCCAACCACCCGGGCACGAGCCAGACCGCCCAGCAGGAGAGGGAGTTGCATAGTCCCAGTCAGTAGGGAGATCGTGCGTCTTCAGCTGATGGAGAACCTGATGAGGCTTGTAAGCAGCCTCATTAGGCGGTCCTTGTTCGTACGCACTCGACGGGACCGCCTCCCCCTCCCACATGTCCTTATGCAGCCTAACACGGTAGGCGATGTCGTGGAGAACTTGGAATGCTTCAAAGGACAGCACGTCGGATACTGTCAGCGACGGTGATAACTCCCTCTCATCAGCCTCAGGGCGGTCTCTAGACCCACTGTCAGAAGAGAGAGCAACAAAGGGTGCGGTGCTAGGCGGTTCACTCTCCGCCTTAGAGTAGCTGAAATCCCCAAGGTTATCGCCAACCGTTGAGGATGCTCCCCGCCATCCAGCAGACGTGAATGCGACAAGAGCAGGATCAAGTTCTACACCTAAAAGGTCATAATAAAGACCGCCTAAGTGTTTGCTAAATAGCCCTTGCTAAACAGACCGCGCGTGTTGAAATCTACTTTATCAGTTCTAAAACCTAAACTAAGAACGACCGCATTAAAGAAAAAGGAGGGGGACGCAAAATACCTGGTATAGCCCAATGCAGTCAAAATCGCGCTTTAAAACTTAAAAGCTTACGCTTTTACCTCTTTAGGTCACCAAAACGCTGCTATGTAAAATCGTGATTTTTCCTTACAAATGTAGTCAAAATCTACTTTTTAAAACTTAAAAGCTTACCATTTTACGCTTCTAGATCATCCAACCGCTTCTAGGTAGAATCACGCTTTTTACTGCATTGGTATAGCCTGCCGGCTTCCGGATAGCGGTCCGCCAGAGCCGCCACGGACTTTGTAGAAGAACGGGGAACACTAACGCCCGCGCTGGAAGCCCGAGCGTCACTGGAGGTTGTAGCGGCAACAGCGTCGGTGGAGGTCACGACGGTGGCGATATCGCCGGAGAGGTTCTGGTTTTGGCTATCGGCGCGAGTAGTGCTTTGGGATTCAATCGCCATTTATTATCGTCGTTTACTTTTGGCTCGTTTCTGAGTTCGTCTGAGTTTGGCGAGGAAATTTGCTCGTGACGGAGACAAGGAGGAGTTATCTCGCAAGTAGGAAGAGAGGGAAAACCGAGAGCAACGCGCAATTTTGGCTAGAGCAGGAGAAAGCGAGACAGAGTGTTTGCAAAAGAGGAAGAATGAAGAAGAGGGAGGAGGAGCGGATATAAATAGGAAGAAGGAGGGGGTAGCGAAGCGACGGTTGGGTGACCGAGACAAAACCTTAGTCTCGGAAATTCAAAAAAGCGGGCAGGTGATTGGACGTGAGGGCTGCCCATTGTTAGAGCTCAAGTCTCGAGAATCGACACGTGGCGCAGCATGCATGCTGTGGGACGAGTCACGGAAGTTGAATCGGCAGAGGCGATTCAGGGCGAACCGCATGGGACGCGAAAAAAGTGGTAGCATCAAAGAATAGAAGGGTAGATGCCCAAAGGGCATTCGTGGCGAACCGCATCAGGGTATTCGCGACCTAAAAAAGGGGTGGACAGCGGAACCGCTCACAATCACCATACGACCAGGAAGAAAGAAATTATGGTTGTCGTGACAAACTGCATCAGGCTACTCATGAACTAAAGAGGGGGGTGGACAGCGCAACCGCTCGCACGTACCAAGCAGCTAGGGAAGAGCCAAAGCGGGAATGAGGAAAGAGAAGGGCATATCGGGTGGTACAGAGAGGAAGGATTACCTGGACAGCGACCGGAAAACCCCCGTCTCTGTGGCGGCCAGGGGCAAAGGGTAGGTAGCGGATGCAAGGAGGACCGCTCAACTATTACTGGCAAAGTCAGTAGCCGCCAAAACCCGCAGCTTTTCACGACTAAAGGGAAATTGTTGAGCCCATAGTTGAGCAGTGTTGGGTTTAGAGCCCATAGGGAGTTAGTCAGGCAAGGCCCGAAAGAGAAACTAAGGCGAGGCCCAGCAAGGGGCCCAGGGAAGGAGCGGACATAGGGAAAGGAGGATGGCAGGCGACCACTCTACGATGGGACAGGGAGTAGGCCGTCTGACACAAAGAGCCGTTGGTGACAGGGAGAGAGGATCTTCCTAGGATACTCGCCTCGAACACGGCAGGACTGGGCATTAATTCCTCGCCGCAGGCGGTCTAGATAAAGCAAGGCTTGTCTAGGATGCCTGACATGGCACTTAATGCTCAAAACCCAGGTTAGCCTACTATAAATACTGTAACATCCCGTTACGGCAAAACTCATATTTCGATCGCTAGAAAGTTCGCGATTTAAAATCGAGCATTTCGACACTATTTCGACGAAAATCGGATTATCGATCGATCGGATAAGTATACGTATTAATTATATGTATATTAAATATAATATATATATATAATTAATACGTATACTTATCCGATCGATCGATAATCCGATTTTCGTCGAAATAGTGTCGAAATGCTCGATTTTAAATCGCGAACTTTCTAGCGATCGAAATATGAGTTTTGCCGTAACGGGATGTTACAAATACATTCATATCTGCATTGATGGTAACTCAACTACTCTCTCTCTCTCTCTCTCTCTCTCTCTAAACATAAACACAAATCTTTCTCTTCTCTCTCTAACTTTAGCATCGGAGGGTGTCCGGGGTGACCGCCCACGGACCCTTGTTTTGCAGGAGCTTGGAGTACACCCACCTTCCGGAACAGACACCTTACTCGTTCTTCATCAAACTCCTGGAACATTCCAGGCACAAACACTAAGAAAACTATAAAATGAACAACCAAGTAAACAAAATCGAGGGAAATTCTATATGAGAGGATCTCACCTGGCCATTGCTCCCCCTAGTCTCATGCTAAGGATCAATGAACGAAACTCTAGTGTGAAGGGTATGTTTATATACCGCGAGGCGGGTGCAACAAGCTAGGAATGAGCCCTCCTAGTCGATAAATCATGAATTGCTACAATAAGCTAGCGAACCTAGCTCTCTTAACCGCTTGGCTAAGGATTGCAACAATAAGCTAGGAGGCATAACTCTCTTAATCAAACAAACCGAGGAAACCCAACTCTTTTAGTTGACCAATTAAGGATTGTTGCATTAATTTAGTAGACTAACTCTCTTAACCTTTCGGTTAAGGATGACAACAATAGGCTAGATGATCTAGCCCTCTTAACTAATCAGCTAAGGGTTGCAAGACCCAACCCTCGGAAGTTAATCGGGACGGCAGAGAGCGACCAACCATGATGGGATCATGGTACTACTCCGATACTTGCGGTTTCGGCCCTCGATTAACCCAAAAGGGGTTACCCAAGTGACTAGGAGATCAAGCTCCCTATGGACCAAAGGGGGATTTCCACCTTTTAGTTTAATTTGACCCAATAATGAGATAATGCAAGCAACACCCAATCATTCATGATTAATATCTCAAATATTATATAAAACACACAATCAACACGATAGAATCAAGTTCTTACATCCTAACACACATCTAAACTAGGTTTCATAATACCCGAGTGAGTATGAAGGCTAATCCATAGCTAGGCAAAGGAAAACAACAAAAAGGAGAGAAAGAACCATGGAGAGATGAAAATCTTATTTCCTTCTTGCTTGAATCTCCCTTGAGAAGAAGAGATCTTCAATCCTCTGGCTTGAATTCAGCCCAATCTCCTTCTTTCTCTTTTGAATTGTCCTTTCTCTCTCTAGAATGGGAAAATGAAACCCTAATCTCTCACTAGAAAACCCCCTTTATTCTGAAAATTAAAACCCTAGAAAAAGCTCTCCTTCTTTCTCCTTTCAGGCTTCAGCTCTCTATTTGTACCCAGTCGCGCCCAGTTCACGGTCCCAGTTCACTGCCGTGAATATCAGGTTGGGACCGTGAACACAGATCAAAACGCGCCGCTTCACTTATGGAGTTCACGATCCATGGTTCCGGTTCACGGTCTCACAACCGTGAATTGCCTCGGCGTCAGTAACCTCTAAAACTCCTCTGGACGCTCTGCGATTCACGGTTTGTGGTTCCAGTTCACGGTCCTGACGATCGTGAACTCACTGCTTGGACCGTGAATTGTGGTTGCTTTCCTGGGAGCCAGTGCTTCACGGTAACGGGCTTTGGACTTTTCTTTGGTTTCTGCGCTTTTCAACCTCCGATCGTCCCGAAACTCGTCCTCGACCCTTCCACACGTGCTAGGACCTGAAATTTATCAAAACAAGCACAATCTAGCGTGAAATATGTCGAACGACGATGAAATGTAAAGCTAAACTATAAAAAAATCAGGGTAAAATATGTACAATTGAACTCGAATCAGGCTTAGAATTAGAAGCAAGAATATAATCATGCGGGTTGTGTTGTCATCCCTACTTACCAGATACTATTGGTAAATATAAGTCAACCCTTTAATTTACAAATCAAATTGATGAATTCGAATAGCCGTCAAAGAAAGAAACACCATATGATGATTTAGAATAAGAAAATTAATTAATAAAATGCCAAAAATGAAAATCTCAACTAAAATAATTAGGATACAACCAGAACCAGGAGCCAGGAATGACCAGACCTGCGGCAGTGATGATGAATTGATGATTCTTCTTCCGTCAGGTTGGCTTTCCTTTGTGTTGACATCGTCCACATTCAGCTAAGCTAGTAGAAACCAAACGCAAAGAAATACCGTCTCCTCAGGAATCCAATTCGTAACCATTTATGCCGCTGCTCAGAGACTTCTCTCCACCACCACCACCACCACTAAAATAACTCCACTCTCCCTCGTGATCTCCTCTGACATCTCCCCCACTTTCCCTTTCCCTCTCTCCCTCCTCCTCCTCCTCCGCCGTCGCCGGTTCCTCCGTCGAACCTCCGCCCCCACCCCCAAACATTAACTAACCAATCCACGCCACGCCGCCGCGTGATCCCTTTCTTTTTATCTTCTTAACTTCCCCACCCACCCACTCCATTTCTTTATCCATTCTTCACCGGCCCATTTGTCCTCCTCCAATTTTTGACCCTCTTCTCCCCTTACCCTTGTTTCTGAATGAGACCATGAAGTGCTTCCACTTCTCCAACGGGGAGAGGCGCGGCGGGGTAGGCGGCGGCGACAACGAAGGCGAGGGAAGTGGCAGTGGCAGCGGGAGCGGCGTCGCTTCTTCCAGGACCTCCAGGGTGTCGTGGGCCAGGTCGCTGAGCGTCGCCTCCGGTAACGTCGACACCAGGAGAGGGTCTGACTTGTACTGCTACTCGTCCAGGGATTTGTCGGAATCGGTCGCCTTCTACGATTTCCTCTCCCAGCGGCGAGCCAACGATTTGCACGTCTTCTCCTTCGCCGAGCTCAAATTGGCCACCAAAGGGTTCAACAGGTCGCTCTTGGTTGGGGAAGGCGGCTTCGGCTGTGTTTATCGCGGCGTCGTTAGGGTTCCCTGCGTCGGCGACGACGACGATGGCGAGGCCGAGCTCATGGATGTTGCTATCAAACAGTTGAATCGTCATGGTTTCCAGGCATGCCCCTTTTTTTCTTCACCTTTTTTCTCCCCCTTTTTGTGAAATTGGTTCCCAATGTAGCGTGGGTCAATTATGCGAATGAATTGGGGGATCTTATGGGCATTGCTCTGTGTGTTTGCATTTCTAGTATTTCAGGGGCACAAGGAATGGATCAATGAAGTGAATTTCCTGGGCGTGGTGGATCATCCTAATCTAGTGAAGCTGGTGGGTTATTGCGCTGAAGACGATGAAAGAGGGATGCAGCGGCTTTTGGTCTACGAGCTGATGCGCAACAAGAGCTTGGAAGATCATCTCTTGGCCCGAGTCGCGTCGCCTCTCCCCTTGATCACTAGATTGAAGATTGCCCAAGATGCAGCCCGCGGATTAGCTTACCTACACGAGGAAATGGATTTTCAGGTCTCCTTTTCAGCCTTTTATTTTCTCCGGCTCTGCACTTCTGATTCTTCCTCGATTAAGCTTCTCCATTTCGCTTTGTGTTAATGGTTCGATCTTCTACGTTGCAGCTTATATTTCGAGATTTCAAAGCGTCAAACATCCTACTAGATGAAGATTTCAATGCCAAGCTCTCAGACTTTGGTCTAGCTAGACAGGGTCCCCCTGAAGGTCTCAGCCATATTTCAACATCGGTAAGTTGTTTTACCTGGCCACAGCTTGGTCTTCTGGATTATAAGATTGAGATTACTGTGAATCAGTGGCATTTCTGAGTTTTGAACTGCGACCCGTAGCACCAAGTGTTTTAAGTCTGTCAAGCAGCCTGTTATATTGGAACTCAACTTATCCGGGGTTCTCAATTAGACATTTTGAGGGTTAGGGGTTGATAAATGCTTGTATGCCATTTTAAATCTGTGGAATCATGGTGGAATTTGACCTTCAACTGTAGTTCTTCCTGAAATTGATTGTTTTGTGTCTTTTTTTTTTCTTCTTTCCCCAAAGGTTGTTGGCACAGTTGGATATGCAGCTCCAGAGTATGTTCAGACTGGGAGGCTGACTGCAAAGAGTGATGTGTGGAGCTTTGGAGTAGTTCTATACGAGCTTATCACGGGCAGGCGGGTTATGGAGAGAAACCTTCCAAGGGGAGAACAAAAGCTTCTGGAGTGGGTAAGACCTTACGTATCTGATTCTAGGAAGTTCCATCTCATTGTAGACCCCCGGCTCGAAGGGAACTACTGCCTTAGATCGGCACAGAAAGTCTCAGCCTTAGCAAACAAATGTCTGAGCAAACAGCCCAAGTCCCGGCCTAGAATGAGCGAGGTAGTAGAGTTGTTGGGGAACATCATCAGTGACATATCACCATGCGAAGAAGAGCCGGCAGAATCCGAAAATGTTAAAGAGGTAGAAGAGAACCCGAAAGAGGGTGACCCAGAGCTCACCAAGAGCAGCAGACACAGCTATCTGAAGAAGGTTTTGGATATGAGAGAGTTGAAGAGCTTCAGGAACAGATCGCTTGGCAGACTTGATTGGAGGAACTGGACTCCCGGTCTCATTAGAACTTCATCATGATCTGGGGAATATAAGATCTCCCATTGTCCATGCAAGCCAACAGAAATGTGGAAGTTGCGATTCTGCCTTCAGTTCTGATTTGGCAATGAAACAATAGTAAATTGAGTAGTGCAAAAAGCCTACTACTTCTCGGATATTAGATTGTAGTCTTATGTATATATATATATATATGTGGTTGAGAGTTGATCTTCACTGGTTATGTAGTAATATATTAATATGTGCTTCATCTTCCCACCGCATTGAATAGAAAGTTGATTGATTCTGTCCTCTCTGTTCCTCAGGTGAACCATGTCTGTAAATATAAGTTCCCTGATCTCTTGAGGTTCTCATCTTTGGGCATTGGTGTGTGCTTGCAGATCTGTTCTTCTGTCTCCATTCTGGTCTGAAAGGTCTCCACTGACAGATTCCTTACAGTTGCTGTCTTTGATGCTTTTCGTTGGTGGGTATGAAAGGTCCATGGGAAGACTCTTGATTCTTTTTCCTGGGCAGAAATTCTTTGGTGGTCCTGTGGATAAATCCAAGAAATGTTGTAGTAGTTTTCTGAAGAGAATGAGTCTTTAAGGTGCACATCAGTAGGACGAAAGTGAAATGGATAGGCAAGAAAAAGTGTCTGGGTTCACAAGTAGGACCTGCATGATTGCAGGCAGTGCTCACTCGTGAATGGTTGGTTTCATTTATCTTTAAGAGCTTAAAGCTTGCTGTTACCAAACATGTGACTACATAGTACTAGAATCGAACAGGAAGACAATAGTTGGACAAAAGAATCTCCAGAACCAGGTTATGTAAACAGATGTAAAACCGTGCTGTTACTGTCTCTGGGATTTTACCGGGAACCTTTGGAAGCAGCCCCACAGGTCCAGCAGGAAGGAATCAACACGGAACCAGCTGACTTCACAATCGTGGTCGTCTGCTGTATTGACCCGACTGGATTTTATTTTATCTGTAATCATCATAACTAAAAGAATTGTAATTGCTTTGGGGCTTGGTTCCTATACTAGAAAGTTGGTGACATACCATCGCTCAGCAAAGGGAAATAAATGAGCTTTGTTTTTAATCATCTTCTATATATGGTTGGTCTAGTTGGCCTAAATGACCACTCAAGTCTTGAACAAGGCATTCTTTCATGGTTGTGGTTGTCACAACATGTGTCTTTTATTTTAGCCCTAAACCCTTTTCACGGTTGAAAACAATATGAGCACTAAACCCTTTCGTCAAACTTGCATCCATACAGTTCTGTATACATCAAGCTCAAATGAACTCATCATTAACTTGACCAATTACTTGATAGACACAATTCATAAAAAAAAAAAAAACAGATGATATCATACCCCTTTCACAGAAGCGGCACACCCTTCCTTGCTCTATCAGATCTCATCATGTTTTGAGTCCGTACCAAATGATTACTCACTTGATACACTCATTACAATTTACAAGCCATTGGACATTATATCAAATTAAGACTAACACCTTAGCTTCTAATAAATTCAAATGTAGAAAGTCTTACTCACTTATAATATCGTGAGATCCCTTTATGATTACAACATATATTAGATATGTTTGTCTAGTGTCTGAACGTTGGAATGGTTCAACACTTCAGTTATCTCATAAAGTTCATGCTTACATGTGGAGTCATATAACTAGGGCTGGCAATTTGGACAGGGACCGGATGGAAAATCGGAAACCGGACAGTAAAACCCTGACCGTTTTAAGACTGAGACCGGATGTAAAAACAATCCAATCCCATCTTTGGTCTCAGAATTAGCAAAAAACCCGGACCAATCCAGTCCGGGTCAAAACCGTGTAAAAACCAGAAGACCGGATGATTAAAAACAGACCAGACCATGACCCAAAGGCAAAGCCCATAAGGTCCCAAACAAAGCCCACTCCCAATGGCCCATAAGAGCCCATTTTGAACTTTTGTTTAGGGTTGCAGAATGGCGTCTCGTGTGTGCGCCTCTCTCTCGTCCTCTTCCTCAGTTCCTCTGCATTCCATCCATCATCGCAGCCAGCCGCCCGCTCGAACAAAGCAGTCGAACAAAGCAGCCGCCGCCCGCAGCCCGCCGCCCGCCTCTGCTCCGACAACCTCCGCTTTGACCCAGCGATGACGGCATCGGCTTTGACCCAACGACGCCGGCTCAGCTCTGACCATCGAACGCGACCACCTGCAGACAGCAGACCTGCATCTCGTCTCCCTCTGTCATAGCCTCGTCGCCCTCCGTCCAATCTCATCGTCGTCCGTCAACTATTGGGGAAGAGCTGCCAAACTCAGAAAAAATGGAAGGGAGCAGCAGCTCTGTAAGTCGTTTTAGTTTATTAATGAGTAGTTTTAGTTTATTAGTGATGAATTAAATGGTGGAATGTGATATACCATAATACCAGGGCTGGATGAGTTTATTATCCATTAGTTTTTATTTGTTCTTCAATGGATTGAATTGTTTTGTGCAGGGTACTAAGAAGCGAATACCGACATCAAGAGGGGATGATAATTTGCCTCCTCTTCCTAGTAAGAAACGACCACAGCCACAAGCTTCAAAGGCAGCTGTTGAAAGTGAGAATAATAGTGGAAATGTTAATGTTCAAACCGCTGCCACTCAAGAACAAGAACGGCCAGCAGCTACCAACACCACAACAACACCTGAAATGGAGAAGACCAATAGGGAGTATGTGTTAAGGTCACCTGTCTTGCAGCATTATGATTGTTACAAAGATGCTAAAGGCAAGGTGTCATTACTGTGAAAAGTCACTAGCTCGAGATCCCTCGGGAAATGGTACAAGTTCTTTGGGTAGGCATACTCAAAGGTGCTTAAAGAAACAACAAGAAAAGGGGAAGCAGTTGAATTTAGAACTCAATCCAAGTTCTGTTGAAGGGCAAGGAGTTTTGGGGACTTGGAAATTTGATCAAGCAT